TTTGTTCACTTTTCCCTCTGCTTTACAGTCTGTCTATTCAGCAGTAGGTAGTCTTGGTCCATTCAGAGAATCTCACCAGTTCACCTATGCCATCGCCATCTTGCCTCCCACTCCCTTTAATTAGTTTTGTTATACTTTCAGCATCTCTTCTTATATTCTTCCCTACTTTCTTTTCTAATTTTGACACTTGCTTATACACATTTGCTAGGTCATTTCTCCATCCTAAAAAAAAAAGTTTTTATATGTTTTAGTGTTCATTTTTATGTTTGGTTTTCCTCTATTTATACTTCCATCTGAATATTTTCCAATGACTTATCATCCTAATCATTACTTATTTTTTTTACTTCCAATAAGTACAATATTTATTAAACATATCTTCAGTTGTTGTATTACATAGTGTGCAAGAAATTACAGCCACAAATTATATGCAGAGTATGAAGAAACTATTAATCAGATAGTGTAATCTTTCCATTTATAACTCTATAAGGAAGAACTAGCAAATCAGGTCTTACATATAACATCTCACTAAACTTTATGCATGGAAAGTGATAGACACTGATGTGCTGTTTGATACAAAATGGCTGAACTTCATCTTCAGAAGACTAAACCCGACATCTAAACATACCAATATAAACATCAAAACAAAATATATTCTAACCAACCATGGGAAACAGTCTGGTATCAGGAAAGCAACAAGGATTACACACAGTATTTTATAAACCAGCACACAGAGGTTTAAAACAGTTCTGAAAATGAAGTTAGCTGTCTTGAGTCAAGGGAATAAAAAAAAAGTCAGTATTGGCCATTTACAATCTCTGACCTTTGTGGAGACAGTAAAAATCTGTTGTAGTGCAGCTACATACAGTACAATTCAGGCAATTTTGTTTTTTCACTTGGGTTCAGATTGCAAATTCATTGCTGTGAGAAAAGGACGGAGGTAAATTTTAGCAGCAACCTCCACCTGACTGCTTGACCAGAGTGCTCTGAATTTTAACATTGGACTTCTCTGCACCACCAGCTGTTGCTCCAGGACCTATTCTTTTTTAATCTCAGCTGCCATCATCATGAAAGACTGTTCTACATTGGTTGCATTCTTAGCACTGGTTTCCAAAAATGGAATTCCAAGGGAATCAGCAAATTTCTTTGCTGTTGTGTAGTCTACTACTTTCTTTGTGGTCAGATCACATTTGTTCCCTACCAACAATTTGTTGACGTTCTCACTGCAGCCACTGTTTAACATTGTTGAAGGACTCCTGATCTGTCACTTCATACACAACTATGATGCCATGAGCTCCATCAACAGCTTAGTAATAACTGGAAGTGATTGTTCAAAATCTTTCTTGGCCAGCTGTGTCCCATATTTGATGCTTGATTGTTTTCCCATCTAACTCTATAATTCTTATTTTGAAATCCATGCCAATTGTACTGATGTAGCTTTCTGTATATGTGTCATCTGCAAACCTAAGAAGAAGGCAAGACTTTCCAACCCCAGAGTCACCAATGAGAAGTAACTTGAATAAATAATCATATTCGGGATTCATGCTGGACATGTCACTGCAGCTACCACAGCTGCCACCCTGACTCTCCGTGCCACGTGTAATCGAAGGAAAGGGATGAGATAGGCTGTTCCGGGAGAGCAAATGTCTTCCCCCACTCCGTCTCCTTAGAACACAATCAGTAGCCGCAGCCACTCAGCTATCGCTTCCACCCTAATCATTACTTATTATCTCATTTTGGCCTAATACTCTGTTAAATCCATATATGTGTCTCTTACTTCAGCTCTTGTACTTTTTAGGAACAGAGCTTTAATTGGATTAGCTGGACAGAGTTTTTTTTCTTTTTTAAATATTTTGTTTTTGATATAATTACTTCCTTTGGTATACCTGATAGTTTTTTTAAAAATAAATTTTAAATAAAAATTTAAAAAAGGTTTTGCATGAGATTTTAGCTCCTGGAAAGTCATTAGTGTATGTATATACAGGCTGCAACTGTTTTTCTATTATTTGATTAAGAAGATCTTAGGCTTGTTTTTGGTTTTTGTAAGACTTGTGGAATTCCTGATTTTTTTTTCTTACTTGTAGGATACAATCACTTGATATAAAGCTTCAGCTGTTTTTTAGGGGTCATGCTTCTTTTCGAGTCTTAAACCCAGTTTTATTTTACTCCTTACTCTGAGGGATTGCAGGAGCTCTGCTGACTTCTCAGCTTCTTAACCACTGCTTTATACTTGGTTATTTTCCTCTTGGTCTTAGATACCTGCACTTGTACACTTATCATAGCATGATTCATAATTGCAAAGATGTGGCATCAACTTAAATGTCCATCAGCTGCTTAGTATGTTAAGAAAATGTGTGTGTGTATGTGTGTGTGTGTGTGTGTGTGTGTGTTTATGTGTGATAATATAGTACTCAGTCATAAAAAGGAGTGAAATTTCTTTTTGCAGAAGCTTGGATGGAACTGGAGACCACCATCCTACATGAAGTAAAGCAGGAAGAGAAAGCCAAATACCACATGTTCTCACTTATAAGTGGGAGTTAAACTAAGGATATGCAAAGGTATAGAGAATGGTAAAAATGGACGCTGGAGACTCAGAAAGGGCAGGGTGAGAAAGGGAAGAGTTAAAAAATCATCTATCAGGTACAATGTGTCCAGGTGGTAGTGATGGATACATTTAAAGCCCAGACTTTTTCACCACTGTACAGTGCATTCATGTAAGCAAAAACCATTTGTAGCCCTAAAACTATTGAAATAAAATAAAATAAAAAGCAGAAATTAACTTAAAAGTAATAATAAAGATGTATCTCACAGACCCAAGGGATTTAGACACCCAGGGCCACTGTTCTGTCCTTCTTTTTTTTTGTTGTTTTTGAGTTAGAGTCTCACTCTGTCGCCCAGACTGGAGTGCAGTGGCCGCTCCCGGCCACCACAGCCTCGACCTGCTGGGCTCCAGCGATCCTTCCGCCTCAGCCTTCCAAGTAGCCAGAATTACAGGCATGTGCTACCAAGCCTGACTGATTTTTTGATTTATTGTAGAGATGAGGTCTCGCTGCCCAGGCAGGTCTCGAACCTGCGGGCTCAGGCAATCCACTCACCTCAGCCTCCCAAAGGCGCGGGATTACAAGCTGAGCCACCGAGCCTGGCTAGTACTTCTTTTCCCTTTGGTATGTTGACCACCTCTAACTCCATATTTAGTTTTCTTCAAACTGCTAGATTAGTACAAACTGTGCCCATCTCTCTGCATTTTAGTATCACCTTCTAGTTCACATTTCAAGCCTCACCTTTCCGTGCTTGTGAATCAGGAAAATCTCAAGGATAAGGCAGAGCAGGATACCAAGCTTATCCTAAAGTGCTTCCTTTCTCTCCTAGGGAACTTGCTTCTCAATAACTGATGAAACAGAATGCTTTAAGCAAATGTTATTTCTTTAGGCATTTTATCAGTTAATATTGTTGTTATTAATGAGAGGAATGATCTACTCTAAACTGACCCATCACGACTGAAAAGATGTTTTCTGCAAATTGTAATTTAAAAAATCTATGCAAATAAAAATCAGCCTCTTGGAATGCATCTCAGCTGTATGTTGTCATTTTTGTGTTCAATTTTAGGACTAGAAAACTCAAATACATTTAATTAAAATTAATTTAAGTGTATTTTGGCTTAGGCCATAGCTCATGGCTGGAAGGATTAAGGGAGAGTACAAAGGATGCCAAAAAGCATTCTTCATCCAATTTGGAGAGTAAAAGCCGAGTCATATAATCTACATTATTTCATACCTATGCCATGTCATGTAAACCTATGCTGTGCCATATAAACAAATGATGTCACATCCATAAAATAGAATATTTTCCAAAAATAAAAAATGAACTATCAATCCATTAGAAGTTATGGAGGAAACATAGATATTGGTCAGTACAAAGAGTCAACCTGAAAAAGCTACATACTATATGATTCCAACTATACAGGCATTCTTCAAAAGACAAAACTACGAAGACAGTAAAAATCGGTGGTTGTCAGGGGACAATGGGAGGGAGAGTCAAATAGGTAGAGCACAGGGGACTTTAAGGTCAGTGAAATAATTCTAGATAACACTATAATGGTAGATACAAGACATTATATATTGGTTAAAACATGTAGAATGTACAGCACAAAGAGGGGAGTCTAACATAAACTATGAGTTTTAGCTAATAATTATGCACCAGTATTGGCTTACCAATTGTAACAAATGTACCACATCAGCACAAGATGCTAATAATAGGGAAATTCGGAAGGAAGGGGGCTGTGAAGGCATATATATAAATATAGGAACTTTCTATGCTTCTGCACAAGTATTTATTTTTCTATAAATAAAAAACTGTTCAGAAAATAGCCTATTTAAAAAAAAACTCTCCCCCAAACAATAAGTACTATATTCACTGTATTTATTCCACTGTGCAATTAGTCAAAACAACGTAATTAAATTTTTTCAAGCTTGGCATTAAAAATATCTTCTGAATTTATCTGTTAAATTTGTATTACACCATTCGAAGCATTTTTCTAATTTCTTTTTCCAACAGCATTAGCTAGGCAAACATAATGTATTTTAGGTAATAGAGCACATTTGCATACATTAAGCACTTCTGTGTTGTCAATCAAGATATATCAGGAAACCACTTGAGATGGAAGAGGTGGAATAAAATGCTTTTCACTGGCATCCCCAATTGTCTGTAGCTTTATTTGATCCTAGTTTCAATTGCTGGAATTACCTTGAGCAATTATTGCTTCTTTTTGACATAAATACTTACTTTGCCTCCTTTAGTTCATTCTTACCTTATATCTCAATCATTTTTCACATGGTGAGAACCCTGCTTGAAGTAATTTTTTCTAGGATCTATTTCAAGTGAAGTATAATTTGTCCCAGACAGAGAGCTGGATGAACACCAGCGGGATACCCTTGTGGAGAATTGCAAGATCAGAAGTAGCAATGTATATCAATGAGAGAAAATAGCATCCTATGCAGGGAAAATTCAGTCCTTTGTAGCATAGACCAGTGGTCCCTAACTCTGGCTAAACATTGACATTATCTGTGGAAAATTAGTTTTCAATTACCAATTTCTGGGAGATTCTGATTCAGTAGGAGTAAATCTGTATGCTGCACACACTTTCCAAGTAAATGAAATCTCTAAGGCTCAGAAGCCACTAGATAGACATATATTAACTCTCAATAAACTCTATCACTCATATTGGTCAAAATTTTGTTGGCATGTGATATCTGTAATGTAAGCCGACATACATGATGAGGCTTTAAAAATAATTTGTTATTTTTACCAACACCATATTTCTCTCAGATAAAAGAGAGGTATCTTACATAAATTCTTACAAAGTCTCTTATATTATGGAGCTGTTAGACACTTACTTTGAGTGATAAAACTAAAAAAAAAATATTGTTTGGAGAACATACATTAAACCTAAACGACCTACAACAATGCACTTTTGGAGGTTTAGAGATCACATAAAATAACTGGCTACAGAACAGGAGGAAAAGGATGAGAAGAAGAAGGAATAGATAAAAATGGAGACAAGAAGGAAAGAAAGAAGAAGAGAGGTGCCTGAGTCACAGTGTGGACGATTCATAAAAATGGATCCCACCCAGCGTAAGACTTGGATGGCAAACTCCAGGCTAAATGTATCATAATCATTCTGTTAGAGGAGAGATCCATTTTATTTCTAGTGTGAATTCTAAAGAAAGGAATTGCATTCCACTGAGATGTGGTTATTCAACTCTTCTCAGTCAGGATTAAGGTAGATCTCTGTATTTCCTCAGGAGGAGGCAACCTGTGAATTTGTTTACAGACCTGCTGCTCCATGGGATGTAACCACATGAACTTCTGGCCTGAGGTAATTCCTACAGGGCTTATCAGTATTGTCCTGCGCTGACATGCCCTCCCTCAATTGACCCTGAGATCCAGTCACACAGCCTCCTGTGCCTCCCACACATGTCTTTCACTGGCAATTTCAATTATTTTAAAGCAGCTTTTGTCACAAAAAATGAGACTTAGGCCCATGTGAAATTGATGTGGGGGCCCCTTCAAGACACGAGCATGGAAATGTTAAGAAAACAACTCAATCCATAGACTTAAAAATAATAATGGACTTAAATAACCTTTAATGGTTTAAGTCACTGAACATTTATTAAGCACATGACAGGTACTTTGGTGGGCACAGTGGGTACAGTAAAGACCAAGATAGATAAATTCTATTATTCTCGTAGTTTAGTTACTAGGACAAGCAGCATGACCTTGGGTTTATCTTCTCTATACTCCAGAATAGGATGAGCAAAGTAGCAGTACTTATTCCAAAAGGATATTGAGGAGTTACCTTCAGTCCCTGCCATTAATTCCCCATCCAACACACACACACACACACACACACACACACGCGCGCGCGCGCGCGCACAATTTCAAAGATTTGAAAATCTACCATCAGTTTTTAATATTCCATAATATTTCCACTACTTATTAGTCTTCTAACCAACACATTTTCAAAACTCTGAAAAGCATTTGCCTTGTCTTTTTTTTTTTTTACTCTATGAATGCTTAATTAATACAAGAAGAAACTTCATTACTGGGCCAGGCCTTGTGCTGGGTGCTGGACAGTTGGATAACTTTTTTACAGATTCTTTTAAGGAGAAAATTCAACATGGAGATTCCACAGCAACTCCTGACCAAGGTGAAA